TTTTTCTACCTGAACGAAGCATGGGAGTAACATATCGTCCGTTCATGTTATCAATTCTCATTGACTCGCTCATTTCGTCATCGTCTACTGATTTTTGTCTACTGCATTTTAAATAGGTACCTTATCTCGCGCTAATACTATGGAAAGATCAGTTTATCGGCATGCCAAGCTTATTTGCACCGTCAATTCAATTGATGTCCTCCAAAGTTCAACTTCAGTTAATTTTGTTGCACTGTTCACCTAAAATGAAGCGGACAGATAAAACATCTGCTGGACTATGCTTGGTCGAGGTATGGCCTGTATCTGAGCTCGATGGAGATCACTCTACATAGATATCCAATTTAGCCGGCCAATGTATGCATTATATATGTATGCATGTATGTGTGCATCAACATCACAAACCATTCACAATGGCAATTCAAATCACCGTATACCCGCTCTCTTAGCCCCATTCATCTCTCCCGCTAATCTATATATTCGTTCTCCCTCTCCCCTTCACCTCTCTGTCCTCGCTATCACAGCCGCACTGAGAAGCTTATACCTATGTATAACTACCTAAGTAGCCATGCGGGCGGGCCCCACGCACTGGGTTGCTCACACGGCAGCCATTAGCTCGCTGTTTGTGCAGAGAAATGTCGCCGTGGGTCAGGTCGGGAACGCGGCAGCTGGACAGTTGTGGGCTGCTCTGAACGCCGCCCCACCCACCGGCTGCCTCCTCCCCTGTTTTTATATTCATCTCCAGGGTAAGTGCCGCCGGCCGGGCGGTGAGCGCGTGTGGCGCGGGCCGGCCAGTGGCATTAATTGGCCATCGGGCCTCTCCGCCACCGCCGCGCCGGGCGGTGAGAGCGCCGGGCGACTGTTAAACTAAAAGGTGGCGTATATCTGTCGGCACCCTTTTACGAGCGGCGCGCGGCGGGCCGGGAGCGGCCGCCCGGCCGCGGGCTCCCTCCTCCGTGGCTGGGACGCGGCATCACTCGCGCTCCGGGCATAGCTGGCCGGTGTCGGAGCGCCAGGACTATGTGCGGCACGCCGGCCGCAGACGGCTCAATCAGAGCCGTGCCGCTGCAGCTGCCCGAGCTGTCGGCTACATGTGTCAGACATCCCCGGCGGATATCGGAGCACAGCGCGCTCTTTGATTCAAACCGGCAATACACGTCCGGCCGTATGCAGATAAATGACTGAACACAGTGCCCGTGTGAAGTGAAAACAAATGGCGAGCCTACCTCAACACTCTCCCAATAGCACCACTCTGACAGCTCCCGGATATGATCTCACAACTCCCTGACAGCAGCACTGTCACGGACAGGACAGCCCCGCCGCCACCTGGGTCCTCAGTACTCCCAAACTGTCACCGTCCCGCCATCCCTGTCGTCTGAGCTGCCATCCCTGTCGCCCGAGCTGTCACCGCCGCCGCCCCCGAGTGTCGCCGCCGCCGCTCGAGCGGTGCCGTCGACGTGCTAGTCCTGTTCCTGACGTGTCCGCCTCTGAATATGCAAACGACCGTAATGTGACGAGGTCCGCGCCGTCGCCGCCGACGCCGCCGACGCCGCCGACGGGCCATTGTGTCACGCGCTAAATGCCCCGGCGATGGAGATGTCGCGGCGGAGGGCCGAGACGCTTTGGCCACGACTTACTGCACGACGGCGCTGATCACACGCCCGGGAATGGGGGGATATCTGAGCGAGAGGAAATGGGCGCCGCTGATCCTTTGGGTCGGACTCGCTCGATGTCATCTTTGTACGTCTGATGTACGACTGGAACTAGCCGTGAATTCTAACGCCCTTCCGAAGAAACGCAATTTGCTGGACGCATAATATGAAACGTTATACAAAGGAAGGAATCACAAATAAACTCTCACCATTCCAACTGTCATGAGCATGACCGTAATTTAGGTAAGATTGCCTGATGATAAATTTCGTTGTGGGTTTCCATGGTAGATGATGAGTTTGAGACTTGACTTCCCTTTAGGACCTTAAATTCCGTGTCACAACATTTCTTGGATTTCATATGAAGCTATTTCAATGTGTCCCTCTTTTTCGGACTGACCTCAAAACACAATAGTTGCTTGACGCTTGTCTGCAAGCAAAATCCTTTCAAACAACTGGATCTTACGGGGAGATTCAGCACTCAGCCAGCCCTCCCGCGGATCGGCTCATCTTTTCACCGTCCCCTCCTAGGGGAGACGGCTCGTCTCGCGCAATCCTGACGTCTCGCCGGCCTGCCCGGCACCGCTTCCGTCTTAGTGGAGCATCTGAGTGACGTGCTGCCGCCTCCGGCCGGCTCCCCTGGTCCGGAACTGCTCGCGCCGCCGGCCCGGCCGGAAGCCGAGGGCTGCGGCGGTCCCGGTGGGGCTGCGGCGGCCCCGGTGGGGCTGCGGCGGCCGACCCTCGGACCGGCTCCCGGCGGCAGGGGTGCGGCCGAGTGCCCGCCAATCGTCGGGATGGTGCTGGCCGGGGGACCACGGCAATCCGGGCTGGGCCGAGGTGTGCTCAGATAACAGGGCGTAATAGCCGTAACGGCAGCCCCGTGTTTGTCCGGAGGGGCGCTGTGTATTCAATATCGTGATGGAGCGGCTGGGGCGGCGCGGCGACCGGAGCTGGCCGCCGGGGAACCGCCGACACCGCGCCGCCCCCGCCCCCGCCCCCGACGGAAGGGTGCGGATGGCCGGACGGGGGCCTTGGTAGAGTGGCGGCGCTGTGATTGATCAGGCCCATCAGTTTTCGGCGGACTTTTCACCACCGCAGCCCCGCTGCCGCGCGGACGTCTGAATGATCCCGCGGTGACTTCCGGTCCGCCGAATCTACCCGGTGATACCGGCCGCCGTGATACCGACTGACAGTGATACCGGAACACGCTGGCAGTCCACAGTGATACCGGAACACGCTGACACCGAGCGAGCTCCACAGTCCACAGTGATACCAGTGATACCTTCCTCCAGATCCGCCCCAGCTATTGGCGACCTCGCTCGGTCACGCGGGTCGGTCCGGCCCATACCGCCGCTCGGACTGATAGAGTCTGACCGGAGAATCGGCCAGCACCCAGCAGGAGTGAAATCAGCCAACACCATGATGCTGGCTGAACTGTTCCACTGCTAACTGATCGCGAAGTAGCTGGGGAGGGAGCCGTGGTCCCTTGCTGCTATCACGCTGTCCCATCCGCAGCGCCTTTATTGGACCTCGAAAAGAGCCTCCTGCTTTTAGTATTTTTGATCATTAATCGGCTTCGCTCTGATCCGCTTTCCTCGTTCAGTTCTTGTGCTTTTTCTCCCACCTATCTCATCTTTGATTTCCGCTCCACCTCTAACCTTGTTCCTCCATCACGTTTTTCTACATCGTCTAAAACAGGACACCTTTCATCTGCTTTTCTACAGACTCGGTGACAGCCACCATTGCTGCGCTGCGCGCGTCGTGTTCCTGTCTCACTGCAAAGTGAGCTCACGGGACCGGGGCTGCGGCCCGCCCACAGGGACGCACGCAGCGCGCACCGTACTCGTTTTTTGGCCGGGCCGTGAGAGTACTGGGCTGTATGGTCAGACAGGCAATCGATAGGGAGGAACAGAGAAGATGAGAACGCGCCGGCCCCTGCCAGACATGTCTGAGTGTGAGAGACTTCCAGAGAGGGCAGGGCACTTATGGTGATTAATTAGACCGTCATATTATGCTGAGAGAAATAGTCTGTGTCATATGTAGGCTATCATGGGTATTTATGAGAAATATGCATCACATACAGACACCAATTATTGGTTATCGAACAATACATGTCCAGCTATGACCAGTTGAAACGAGGAGCGCTGAACGACACGTCCTGCCGACGTCAATGTGTAATCAGCGTCGCGTCGAGCCTATTTGACAGCAGCACTCGTCAGACGAGGCTGGCGCGTCAGCTGACTATGAATGCTGGCCGCCGGGCCGCTCGCCCCGCCCTGGACAGCGACATATTGCCTCTGGACGGGCCGGCCGGGCGGCCATTCAGCGCGGCTAATTTGATTTCCTCCGTCGACAGTGACTGTGTTGTCCAACACTAACAGGAAAAACAGGCACCGATCGATCTGCTGCGAGCGCGGGCGGTTTAATTAATGGAATTACATTAAGCTATGCTAGAGAAGCAGCGTCTAGCAACTGGCAGCGAAGAAGCACAATAGCGATGCCTATTTATGTTAACAATGAACTCAATGCTATTGTTTGCTAAATGGGGAAACTATCAATCAGAATGTCGTTATGTTTTGGCAAATAGTATATGTGCTTACGATGAGCAATATGCGATTTATAATGAAGCCTTCCGAAAATGTCCAAAGTGATTTCCGTGCCTCATCGTACCTCGTTTCTCCAATATGTTGCCGTGTGTCCCCTCGCGTGTCTGCGCATTCTTCCAGCCTTGCTGTGCCTCGTTCTAAATTTCGCTGATCTTATTAAGCTCCAACTCACATAATCCACTTAGGCGACTAAAAAACAAGCAGTTTGAGAGGTTCGACAGGCCGCAGATTGCTTTCATGTGGGAGAGCGGGTGAGAAAGTTGGCTGGGGGAGATTGTCAGAATTGCCTGCACCGCGCCACCGGCGATGGACGGCCCGAAACTTTTTTTGTCATCATGCCTTTTTCAACAACAAAACACCTGTTTACAAGTTGCTGTTTTTTTTTTTTGCAACGATGATTTCATTGACCATGAACCATTGTCCATTGGACCAGTCTTGTGTACACCAAAGGTGTCTATGTATCTACAATAAGTAGCTACCCTGGACCAAGATCTCATGCTCGAGCATGTTCCCTTCCAAGGCCATATAACCCTCCCTTCAATACGCTAAAGCGGCGCGCTTTCTCAGTGGTGTGGTTTCCAGTGTTCCATGAGGTTCCCGAAGTGGTTCCGTCCCAAACCTCGGTACTGGTCTGTAGCGGTCCAACGATGGCCCTGCCTCGTCCCCCGTTGAGTTGCCGTATATGGTAACGACGACCGGTGCCGCTCCCCAGAGGCCGCCCTCTGACCGTGTGCTCTCGGTCTTCCAGCGGCCGGCGCGCTGCAGACGTTCGAACAGCAGCCGCAGTACACGGAAGTGAACCCGGGCCAGACCACCGTGCTGCACTGCAAGGTCTACAACAAGGCCGGACAGTGCTCCTGGCAAAAGGACGGCTACGTGAGTATACCGGCACCGGGCACTGCAGGTCACCGCGGGCCACCACCGCAGCGGGCTGCACCCTGGGCGCCGACACACCGCGGGCCACCACCGCGGCGGGCTGCCCTGGGGCGCCGGCACACCGCGGGCCATAGCAGGCCTTCGGTCAGCCGCTGGTGGACAGCACATCGTGGGGGGCCGACTGAGGACTGGTGCGGGGCCGCGGCGGGAGACGGTTTAGCTGATGGCACGAACGAGATTGTCTGTGGGATTGGGGATAGACTGCAGTGTTGGCATCATGGACAGACAGCGGGATCCATGTTCAGTGTTCATGTTTCGCTCTCCGGGGTCCGCAGTCCGAAGTTCGTTGTCCGGTATTGGGGCCCTTTGTGCGGGACTCCCGTCAGAGGCCCTCTCTCCACCTTAACGAGCTTCCCCTCTCGGCACGCGCTATTTACCGGCATAGTCGTGTTTGTGTTGGAGACTCGGCCAACTTTTACAATGCCGGCGCGCTGGCATCAGAAACTTCACTGAGCTAGTAGCATATCTGTTTCTGTCTCCGGCCTATGGGCTCGTGTTGTCGGGAAAACAGTTGGCAAACGAGAGTTTACGGCCGTGGACTCTCACAATGAATTGGGGCGTTTCGAGAGCGCCATTGGCCTGGTACGATTAGCCTTATCGATTACGCTTAAAGCTACTCTAAAATCAAATAATCTTGTATCTGGTTTTGTAGCGTTTCAGTCCGAATCCGGGCCGCTATCGCGGCATTTCAGCGGCGATTCAGTGAAGCGGAAAACGCGGTTATTAACTGGCAGGAGTAACGGCGCCACTTTGGCCGGCGGCGACTCTCGACGGTGTCGGCTCTCGTCGGTGGCGACTCCCGTCGGCGTCGATGACGTCGGAGCGGCGCTAAGGGCCGCCACCTAATAACGGCGCCGTCCGCCGCACCGCCGAACGAGGAGGGGGGAGGGGAGGTTACTCCGTCCGTCCTCTCCCCGGGGACGGGCAATACGGCTAATTTAGGCGGCGCGACGTGTACGCCGTCCGGCTCCGGGCGACATTTCCATATAAACCCAGCTGATAATGATCAGAGGCAGTCGTATTTCATCGCGGCGAGACGTCGACGGCGGAGACTGGGACCGATGGGGACTGGGGAGGGGGCCGCCGCTACTACAACGAACCTCCCCTCCGAGAGTGTGTGTGGGGGGGGGGGGGGCGCCGAGTCAGCAGTTACGACCGAGACAACATCGCTAACCGGCACAACGGCGAAACACACCCGCCCCAGACCGGTCACTATCTTAATATGACGGCCCGAGAGATGAATCAACCAAGCCAGACGCTATTTCTGTCTAAATCGGTACATAAACGCAAACGTATGCCGTCATATCGGAGGGGATTCTCCCGTTCAGCCGTAACTGATAACCGAACCCAAACAAATCGGCGTGACAAGCGGGCCACTTTGCAGCTCGGTAATATGCACGGTCCGCTACTACGGTATGGATCGGTCGCCTTATCACGGGGTGGCAACTGCCGTCACCAAATCTGCACGCACCACTGGGCGCCAGTCGGTGTCGGCTGCTGTTGTTCCAGCGAGCAGTGACCCAAGTGGATGGTGGTGCCCAGCTGGGGCACCTTGTCCGAGCGAGAGAATCTTGTGTGATATGATTCACATTGCGTTTTCATTTCAAAGCTTTTTTTTTTGTTTTCTAATTAGCTCAAAGACGAGCTTTAACCCTCGCCCCGTTGGGGGGGGCCATTTTGGCCCCCCCTGTGGTTTTTCCTGAATAGCAGGAAAACGGCGGCGCGCAGCGCCGCCAAATTTTCAGTACCTTCCCGGGCATCAATTTGACACCTTCACACCAAATTTCAAGTCTTAGGTCACCTTAGGTCAGGAGTTATTGAGGTCAAACTGAGGTCATGTTCGAGCAAAAATGAGCAAAAAACATGCAATCTTGAAACGCTCACCAAATCTACAGTTATCACGCAATTTCAAAGTTCTTTATATGGTCTAGTAGACAAAAAGCGGCGCTACAAAACTGCAATCTCGGATTTTCAAAATTTTTGGTTTTTGACCAAAAAAAAAATCAAAAAATTGATTTATTTAGAAAAACTTGAAAAAAATACCAAATTTTCCAAATTTCGGAAAAACCGGAATATATGTGATAGTCCCAGCGCTCTTCTACATACATACCAAATTTCAGATCGATATCTCGTTTTTTGGCCAAGTTATAGCGAAAAAACTGTTAAAATGATGACGTCAAATTTTTGAACTCAATTTGTAGCGATTCTAGACCACGTACGGCAAAACAAAGCCCACCATTGAACTCCCCGTGACGAGCTGCATCGATTCGATACCCATTTTATGCAAAAATATTAACTTTGAGATTTGACCTAATTTGACCTGACCTTGACCTGACCTTGACCTGACCTTGACCTGACCTTGACCAAAACGTGATCTAAGCTGGCCCCAAAGGCTGCCTGACCCATATAATCGCATTTGTCATGTAAAATGGACCATAAAGCATGTATCACACGACACTTTCATATTGTGACCCCCCGTGACCTGACCTCTGTGACCTGACCTGGTATCAGTGACCTCAAATAGCAAAATATGTGTTTGAAGAACATTTCCCCATCGATGATTTTCAATGAAATGCATTTTACTCGATTTTACAACGCATTTCTTGAAGTGCCTGTAAACGGTGAAAATTGGACCTTTGACCTGACCTGTGACGTCATCGGTTTGACCTAGGTCAATAAAATTGGGTCACAAGGTAGTTCCCCGTTGGGGCTATCCAACGCCGTTTACCGCTTGTCGCTATGTTGCGTGGTTCTCGAGATCTTAGGGGGGCCATAATGCCCCCCCCCCAACCGGGCGCGTTGCTCGGCAGAGCCCAACGGGGCGCGGGTTAAGCATTAATGGATTTCAATCGTTTAACAACTCATTGGACTAAATTGATTTGTGCGTGTTAACTGTGCATAACAGCTCACGACCTTATGGTGACTTCACACGCCATCTATTCGCACATCGTCTGTGTTTTATTGCTGCTAACCAATCATCCATCCAGTTAACAGTTCACCATAAATAACGCCCGGAAGGAAATAGGTCTAGCCTCAGGAGCTGGTCGACTTGAAGGTTCCATTGCGTTCGTCCGGCCGCAGTATGAGCTGGTGCGAACTGGCTCCGAAGAAACTAACGAACTAACACAGAGTCGTGTCGTGTACTGAGCACAGGTATCTCCATAGCTGGGAGTGTGTCCGCTGCCACCCAGCCCACGTGCCGTGGCTGTGTAATTGTCGGCAGGGGTCGGTGCTCTGTTAGCGGAGGTCTGAGTTCCGCGGCACGGCAGTCTGCTAAGTGGAGGGTCTGAGTTCTGACGGTTCCCTATTAGTGGAGGGTTTGACGGTTCCCTATTAGCGGACGGTCTGGGCAGTCTGTTGGCGGAGAGTCTGACAGTTCCCGGTTAGCGGAGGATCTCACGGCTCCGCTGCTGGTAGTCTGTTAGTGGGGTCTGACGGTTCCCTGTTAGCGGAGGGTCTGACGGTTCCGGGGCCGGCAGATAGTCAGTGCAGTGGCTACTCCGGCGGCGCCCGTCTGTATCCGGCGGCTGACGGACTGATGGTAGAAGAGGCTGTGGAAGGACTGCTCTGACGGTGACGGTGCGACCACTCACCTCAATCCGCCGTCATCCATGGATGTGTTGACCCATGTCCTCCCCAGTGTCGACCGGCATGTGACCCCATGTCCTCCCCATGCCAATATGGGTGTACTTTTTTACTTGCACGTGCCAACCACTGCTGACCCTCCACGCCAATCGGGCTTTGCCCCTAACATCCTCGTGTCAACCGGTCTGTTGCCCTGACCTCCACCACCCCAATCCGCCTGCAACTCTGGTCTCTGACCTCCACCACCCCAATCCGCCTGCAGCTCTGACCCCCACCACCCCAATCCGCCTGCAGCTCTGACCTCCACCACCCCAATCCGCCTGCAGCTCTGACCTCCACCACCCCAATCCGCCTGCAGCTCTGACCTCCACCACCCCAATACGCCTGCAGCTCTGACCACCACCCCAATCCGCCTGCAGCTCTGACCTCCACCACCCCAATCCGCCTGCAGCTCTGACCTCGACCACCCCAATCCGCCTGCAGCTCTGACCTCCACCACCCCAATCCGCCTGCAGCTCTGACCTCCACCACCCCAATCCGCCTACAACTCTGACCTTCACCACCCCAATCCGCCTGCAGCTCTGACCTCCACCATCCCAATCCGCCTGCAGCTCTGACCCTCTGCTCTGCCGTGTCGCCAGCCAATCGGGCCGGAGCAGGACAAGTACGAGTGGGCCGAGTCGCCCGACCAGGGCGACTGTTCGATACGGATCATCGGCGCCGACCTCAAGTACGACGACGGCCTGTGGATCTGCCAGGTGACCAGCAGCAGCTTCCAGACGCAGGACGCGCTCAAATCGGCGCCCGCCCACCTGGTCGTCAGAGGTGAGTCGACTGCCGACCGCGCTGAGCAGGGGGGGGGGGGGAGAAATGCTAACATTGCCGGCCGTCTCAACCGAAAATGACCGCTTTCAGCAAACCCACTAGAGGCGATAGACATTGAAAAAGAAAGCGGGCTGATTTTTCTCGATGAAAGAAACACCGGAAGTGGTTGCATCGTATTCTGCATGTAATTTACTCATTCCTCATTGCGCTTTTATCAGTCACACTGTGCGTTTTAGTCGTTCTTGTAATCTGTCGCTATCCCACTCTAAGAGCTATTGCACAATTTGTGTGGTTTATGTGCACATACATGGAGGTCTCATTTACTTCATTCAATTGCCTTTCACTACCGCCTTCCCGAAAGTGAATCCAGACGTCAGTCATCATATCTCATAACTGAGATTATTTTAAGCGTCCGATTCTGTCGTCGCGCCGTCCAGGATATGGGGCTCGCTGAGCGCTGATGGCTCGGCCGGGCCGGACAGATCCATTGGACGCGCCAATCGCGCCAGCCGCTTCCCGCCCAAAGTTGGCGCCATTTCCCAGACGGCTCCTCGGGCGCCGCCGTCACGCCGTGATTTGGCGCGTAGTGCGCCAGATATGGCGATGGCGCGCCACTCTCGCCGCGGGAGTGTCACCCTCTCTGGTCCGTCAACTGACCGCGAGAAGTCGACCCAGCCATCAGCCCATTGTAATGGGCTGATAGCTCGGTGGCTGAGTGCCTGGGTCTTCGATAATGATAAGAAGCAGGGAATCTTCTCAACTTGATGAAAATGTACACATAGGATGATCGTGCATAAAGGTCTGCCTTTGTGGTTCGTCTGTCTCCTCTCCCTCTCTGTCATGCAGGCGCTGCCCACCACAGTTCGCTCTGTCCATCGCCGCTATCCCGCTTCCGCTGTTCGCCGCCGCGCTGCTATCCTGCTTCCGCTGCTATCCTGCTATCCACCGCTGTTATCCTGCTATCCACCGCTGATATCCTGATATCCACCGCTGCTATCCTGCTATACACCGCTGCTATGGCCTGCTATCCACCGCTGCTATCCTGCTATCCACCGCTGCTGTCCTGCTATCCACCGCTGCTTTCCTGCTATCCACCGCTGCTATCCTGCTATCCACCGCTGATATCCTGCTATCTACCGCTGCTATCCTGCTATCCACTGCTGCTATCCTGCTATCCACCGCTGCTATCTCGTCACTGGGAGACTCTGGCCCGCTCGCGCTGCCACTTACCGCCGGGCCCGGCTCGTCCAACTGAGAACTCGATGGTCGTCGTTTCTCTGCGGTTAGAGTGTTTGTCTCTGCCGCTCCTCTCTTCCCGTGCACCGTGGTTGGGGAGGGACACCGCCGCGCCGGCCGAGACGCGGCGGATAAAGGACCTCGGCGGCGCCGCTGACCGAGTCGCCGCTGATCGCCGGCCGCGCGCCACAATCGGCGCGGCGGCGCCGTGTTGTTGTTTGGAGGCCGGGGGACTCCCGGGAGCCGTTTTCTGGAGAGGCTCCCGGACCGAGCGGGCAGCTCCAGGTAAACAGGCGGCGGGCGCGGTGGGAACATTCCGCCCCGGCGGCACCGCAGAGGCTGAGGTGCGGGCGGGGCCCGACCGGCTGAGAGCTGCGGGGCGCGGCCCGGCCGGCTGAGGGCGCTGCGACCACTCGAGAGGCAGATTCCCTCGGCCACTCACAGAGGTGTTAACAACTGGCTGTCAACCCGCGGTAGGCAGTCAGCAGAGCTGCGAGGGTGGTTCTCACTGTCGACGCGCGAATCAGCCGCCTCAGAAAGCTGAGTTCCGCTGGCCGGGCTCCGGCAGCTCGGGCGCCCCTCCCATCTGACCCCAATTAGCGGCGGCAGTGAAATGAGCGTCCGTCTGCCGGTCGGGGGCTGAGGACGGCGCGCTGAGCTGGCGCCGCCCGGAGCGCCCGGTCAGCACCTCCCTCCGCGCCGCGCCGGTCAGCAGTCGGACACATTAGCCATGCAGCTCCGCGCACAGCCCGAGTTTACACCGCTCCCCGAGCGGCTCCCAGAAGCCCTAAGCTGCTTAGCCAACTGTCTGCACAGTTAGCAGAATGTGATAACTCTCTCGTCTTTGTTACTTTTCTGCATCACATGCTCGATCTGAGGCATATTAAAAACCAAGCAAAAATGCTTGATCTGAATTTCCCAAGGAAAACGGGATAAGCTTCTCGTAGAATATGCATTCTTCTTCTTTTTAAATGAATTGTGACGAGACGAATAAACGTCTCATTAGGTTGCAAACGGTCAAAATTATATAGCACAAGCTAATTTTAATATGATTATTATAGCTCGTGACACCAGTGATTCCAATAAGACTCCCGTGATTTCAGTGAGCTCTTTGAAATTCCGTGCAGTCAATGGACTCCTCAGGACTCCTTTGCCTCATCTGGGTTTCCAGTAATTCTCACGACGTCAGATAACTCCTCATGACTTCTTTGTCTCATGTGGGTTCCCGGTGACTCTCATGACGTCAGAGGACTCCTGAACCTCGCGAGATTTACCGTCGATCATGAAGGCGACATTTTCGGACCGGAGATTAAAGCGAAAGTTATCTGGCAGCGGAAATACGGCGATGGCTTTATGATGACCTGCTAGGAGTAAGTTTGCGAGCAAATTAAAACCCGTATGGAATTAACAAAAGTAACTGGAGAAGTGGTTGATAGTTTCCGTTTTGCTGGCATGCTGTTTGATACTTCTATAGCCGTCGTGTGAATGATGATTTTCGTGACGCGGTAACTTCTCTTTTTTCAAATTACGGCATGTAGGAACTAGTTACTAAGCCAAGTTCAAGACAAAAATCTGCCAGACCTGCCTATCAATTATCTCCATCTTTATTTATCCCTCTGAAGTTTGCCCTGTCCTGCCGCCGCGCCACCTGTCCGCCACCAGTGTGTGAGCTGCTCCTGCCCTGTGTCTGGGCAGTGAAAGTGCTCCTCCTGTCATGCAGTGCATGTGCTCCTCCTTTACCGTACTGTCCCGTGCCGTCGGCATGGTATGAGTCCCTCCTGCACTGCGGTGTATGAGTCCCTCCTATCCTGCGGTGTACGAGTCCGTCCTGTCCTGCAGTTGTATGAGCTTCTCCTGCCCGGCGGTGTATGAGATGAGCCCTCCTGCCCTGCAGTGTATGAGTCCCTCCTGCCCTGCGGTCTATGTGTCCCTCCTGCCCGGCGGTGTATGAGCCGCTCCTGTCCCGTCTCGGGCCGGCTGCAGTGGTATGAGCTCGTCCTGCCCTGCCGCCGCGCCGGCTGGCCGTGACAGCCTCCCAGACGTGGGACCAGCGGCTCAACTTTGGCCCGAGTTGGCCGGCAGGCGCTCCTCGAGGGACGCTGGGACTGCGGCTGCTCCGGGCCGGAGACTCGGCGCCGGGGCTCCGGCTGCTCCGGGCCGGAGACCCGGCGCTGGGGCTCCGGCTGTTGTGGCTGTGGCGGAGACCCGGCGACGCGCCGCTGTGGGAGCCGTGCCGGTGGGCTCTTCTGTGACCTGTGCGCTGACAGGTGATAGGTCTGGGCTGTTTATCACAATATATGCTTTCAACCCTGTTTTCATTCTACACTTTCTTCCAATGCTTGCTTGCTTGTAACCATGCCTCCGTCCTCGGCCCCACGTTCATTGCTCACTGACTTGATGCACTCACGGTAGCTGCGTTGGATCGGTTCCCATGTGTCCTCGTACCGATGAGCCGTGTGGTCGTCTGTCCCCCACCCCCGCCCTCACCGGCAGTAGCGGCGGAATACCTTCAATTAATGGGGGCACTGACGATTTTTGGTCCCATTCTTTCCATGCAACGCCCATAGGGCTAATGTTGAAATGCCAAAATCAAAGGGGGCACGGTGCCCCGGTGCCCTCCCTGTTCCGTCGCCTATGCTCACCGGTGTATAACATTGGGTGCGTGCCGTTTCAGTGGAGCCGCAGGTGCCCCAGATGGAGCACCGGGCGGCCACCATCGGTCCCGGACAGAACCTGACGGTGCGCGCCGGCGAGGAGGTGGACGTCCAGTGCCGCGCGCGCTACGGCAACCCGCCCGCCATCATCAAATGGTTCATCGGTGAGTGACGCCGTGCTGAGACATGGATGAGACACGTGACGAGATGTGGTAGGTGAGACGGACACACTTGGTGGGATGAGGGCTGAGACGCACACGCGCTGGTGAGGTGAGCGGGTCCACGGCCACCGGGGCACCACCGCACAGAGACATTCATGTTGCGTGGTACGTGTAAGGAAAGGACGATGCTGCAGGGACTGCGTCCTGAGGTCCATGAGGCAATGACTGATTACAGTACCAGTCACAAGCCTTAGGACTGTGGTATCCGGACTGGCTCATCCACAGTCCGAGGACTTGAGCGCACGGACTGGCCTTGTTACAGTCCGAGGACTGAGACACCCTGCAGACCGGGCTCTCCGCCAGTCCGAGGACTGAGACACCCTGCAGACCGGGCTCTCCGCCAGTCCGAGGACGGCGATACCCGGAGGCCGGACCAGCCTCTCGGGCACCCGGGGTCGATCCGGCCGTGAGGGATGGCCCACTAAATCAGCACATAGCACGCCAGCTCAGGACACGGCGCGCCGCGTGGCGGCGGCAGGCGCTGCGTCTGGTCCGGCACGGGGCGGCCCCCGGCAGACCGGCCGGGGGCTAACGACCGGCCGCCGGGCCCCACCCGTCCGCGCCGGCCGGCCGGCCGAGATTGAGACCTCCTTCGGCTGATGAACGGCGCCCGGGACAGAGCCGGCCCGACGGCACCCGATCGCTTTTCGATGGCTGGCGCCGTCGGCGTCACAAACGAGCTGCATCGCACCGCGCCGGGGCCCCGGACCCCTCCCATCCTACTGCGGGAGCCGGGGGGACGGGCTCTCGGCGGAGGAGGCCGCAGGACAGCAGGTGGGAGGCATTGTGCGAGCGAGGTACCTACTGCACGCCCTGTAATAATTTCAGAACTGCTTTGGTAAGTAAGGCTGCCAACTAAATTTTGCAATTCATATTGTATTTTTACCCAGGCAGGACAGCTACACAGACTGTTTCAACACCTTCCATCCCCATCGTTCAGCAATGGGCAGTGGGCATCCAGCTCTGCCCTACCAGCTCATGAAACTGCCCTCCCCCATCACCCCCCCCCCCCCCTTCCAGTTGACCCTTCGCCCGGGGAAACGCCACCGAAGATGAACGGGAACGTTCAAATCTCCTTAGAGCCAGGACCTCCCGAAACATAAATCCCCCGCTGTTCGTCGATATCCACTTTTTAAAGTTAGCGATCGTATCTCAACAATGGCCGATGGGTGGCATCCATCCTCAATATAGCCGGCAGCAATTCGCCAGTGGACATGTATTAGGTGGCATGCATGCGGCCGACCAATATTTAAATATGTTTCAGGCGGTGACGATCACTTTTTCTTTTATATCTTCTTAGCCTCTTCTTTATGGACGCCATTTAATTGCGTCCCAGAAAAGCTATTTCTGGCACCTAAAAGCTGACTCGCCCCAAAATTGGTCCTCAGCACCTATTTGGTGGATACCAGCAACAATCATGGAAAATGACCTTAATTAGCTGTTTCTGGCACCTATACATCGGTACGCCTTACTCTTTTTTCTGAATCTGGCACCTAAATGCTGAGCGTAGCACCAATCTAGTAGAAAAATGAACTACTGGCTGGTAGAATCATGTTGTTCTGGTATAATGACCCCTGGAGTCTAGCCTAAAGGTTGCCAGTGCAGCTACACTCTAAGACAGCCCCGTAGTGATCTCAGCATTGTATATGACGTTTAAGTAAGCAAATAATATTGATTTGTTTGAAAAAACAATGTCATTTAAATATTTAAAAGCATTTATTTGTAATGCTTAAAGGGAAACATTTTTGTGAGTAATTGTCTCGATTTTGACCATTAAAACGGGTATTGTATTTTTTGACGTCATCAAATAGCTCCAAAAAAGAAATGTAATGTTTTCATTCCGTTCAAGGCCGCTCAAGAAACGCGGGATCTTGCGTGGGACATTGTCCGTTGTTTGCCGCGCAGAGTTGTGCCGTGGTTGTGCCTTTTTCATCCGTTTCTTACTTATGTCATATGTGTGCATGAAGCTTTGATTTTGTTTTTGGCTATTGTGTGGCCGGTCAGTCAAACGCCCCTGTAGAAACCGGATGCTGCGTTTGATCAAGATGGAGTCAGACGATGATTGCAGAAAGCTAATAATATTGAAAAGAGGGCCGGTTGCGTGGCATGTCTGTTCAGAGTTTACATTTTGCTTTGCTCCAGTTTATGACCTGAGAGCCTGGCTGGAAGTGACGGATCCAAACTTTTCACGTTAAAATGGCTGAGGGTGCAATAATCTCTATAGTCTCTACATAGCGGGCTGGTATAGGAGCGTCTTGCTGTGCTGCACCATAGCTGGCTAGTGATTCTCTTTTGGCTAGAAATGGCATTAATCATTATCTCCACTGGCGAAAATGGCACTTGACATCACCGAATGCAACGTTCATGTTTGTTAGGATACATAAAATCAGGAAGATTACGCGAATTAGGTAGGCAAACGTGGAATAAAATAGGTGCTGGATGTTTTGGTTTTGGTGCTGAATCAGCAAACAGCAAATACGGAGTTCAACTAGACGATCTGGCAACTTTAGGCTGTGTGGAAGCAATTAGGTGCCAGATTCAGATATTAGGGTCGAATAAGCATTTTGGGGCTGATCAGCAATTAGGTGCCAGAAACAGCTTTTTAGGGACCAGAAACAAATATTCCCCCTTCTTTATCAGCCATGTCTATTGTCTAGTCTGAGCTCCAGTGTTAGGTCTGTCATTCTTTTACCGAATCACTTTGCATTAGTGGCGTGTCAATTGGCATGAAGCTATTTTTTGTACATGTATGTCATCAAAATGCAGCTGAATTGCTGTTGCTGATTGTTGCTACTGCTACGCCAGTAAATATTGTGCTAAATATCCACATTTGCGGACAAACGACGTTGATTGTGATAAGTCTTTTAAGCGCTGAAGTCAAGAACTGTAGGCCGTTGGAACTATTAAGCAGCAAACGACCCACTTAATGTGTCAATTAGCGGTTAAAGTGCTCGTAAGTTTAAACTCAAGTGGCTACTTTTAATTACGTACCGCTGATATCGTTGACACCGAACATTGACAACGACCTAACCTGGCCTTACGTAGGACTGACCTGACCTGACCCTGACTCTGACCCTGACCCTGACCCTGACCTCTGCCCGCAGGTGATAAGGACCTGACGCACCTGTCGACCCAGCGCAACCAGACGGAGCTGGACAATCCGAAGACGTCGGCGGCGCTGTCTGTGTTGCGGCACTCGTTCGGCCGAGCGGCGGCCGGCGACTTCTTGCGCTGTGTGGCCGTCCACCAGGCCTACGACACAAAGTCGCGCGACACCATCGCCAAGCTGGACGTCCAGTGTAAGCGCAGCGGGAGCGGGAGGGCGACGGTGGAAGACAGGGAGGGAGTGGTGAGTAAATGAGTGGGTGAGTGAGTGAGCGAGTGAGTGAGTGAATGTTGCGCATGTTTCGTCCCGGTCTTGTGTGATGTCATCTTCACGCTTTAGCCAGCTGCTTCAACATTCGTGATACTATTTACTAATGTCTGAGACAATCCGATTGAGCGGATTCCGGTCCGCCATGGGCCAGTGGCGGGCGGTCTCCGTGAGTCGACCGATGCGCCGCGCCGCTGGGAGTGGATCCCGAGCGGTGCCGGGGCGGACCCCGGGCGGTGCCGTGGCGGACTCCGGGCGGTGCCGGCGCGGATCCCGGGCGGTGCCGGGGCGGACCCCGGGCGGTGGCCGGTCCCGCTGCAGCGTCAGCCGGCCGGGCCGCCGCTCACCGGGGCGGTAAATTGACCGGGAGTCGCGCTGAGCCGACCCCATCCGTCCGCCCCCCCCCCCTCCCCCGCGGCCGCAGCAGCGGGGCGCGGCGCATAGCCAGTCGACAAGTCCGGAATTAAGCGATTACAAGGTCTCGCTGGCGGGAGATCCCGGCTCGAAATAGCGAGGTGGCTGGCGTTGAGGGACCCGTCGGCGGCTGTCGGCCCAGTGCAGCCGTCCCCTCAGCCGGTCAGGGGGCGAGCTGCCACACCGGCTGACCGGAAACGGTGTCCCCTCAGCCGGTCAGGGGGCGAGCTGCCACACCGGCTGACCGGAAACTGTGGCACGGCCGGCGCACTGCACTGGTGGCACGGATCTCTGCCAGACACCGGCCGACCTAATTAAGCAAGTCTGTCTCTTTCCGGTTAAGGGTTTTTTGTGAAGTGTAAGATGCCTACAGTCTATACATTATTTGGTGAAACATCAGCGTATTTTTATCCGGACTTATTACCATAAGGTACTAATAATCATTGTTCGGTAACAATGTTCAACTCAGCTAACCTAAGGTGAAAAACCGCGGAGCAGAAAAACACAACATGCGTAAATAATCAGCCAAGCTTCCTGTCGTGGCCAGACAAGGATGGTCTTTCAGCAGATGTTGATGCTCTGTCTCAGCGCCGACAGAGACAGAGTGACGTCATTTGTAGCTGTCTACGTCACCTGCTGGGCGTCCAATCAGCACCGGGATAGCGGGGCCTCGTCAGAGCCGACCGCGTACCAACTGAACCCGGCATTGCTGCAGCGCGAGTGGATGCACGATCAGAGCATCTACACGGTCAGCTGTGGTCGAATTTAACCGGTCATTTTGTCCCAGTCACTCAAAAATACACTCAGTGATCGCTCAACAAACACAGGTTCGTATGGTGTTAAAGAGTGGCTCTGTCTTCTACACATATTTTCTTCAGTCCGAAAAGTTAGTTCTTCCAGCTGCCTTGACCATATTAGCTGTTGTTGGACCGAATGCCAACGAGCTCCTTAGAATGGTTGAACTTTCGCATTGCATACTGATAGATGTGGTCGTGGAATGTGGACGGGAAAGAGAGGAGGGCCGTGACGATCTGCTAGACGGACGACCAACTCGCTGAAAGTCACGTCGGAATTCAGAACTGTAAAGGGCGGGGAAGACGTAGTGGTGCTACATTCTAGATCGCAACGCCCGAACGCTGCAGCGTTTCAGGTGCATCCGAGCCTTTTTAAGTTCAGTCACATTTTAAGCAAGTTGCATGCATTGACATTTCACTGGATCCACAAAATGTCGTTCAAATAATTACTTTCATTCAAGAGCATCTTGCATATAGCGTATTCTAAGCCAGAATGAGTCTTCTGTTCAGGTTGAATGTCAATTTTCACAAAGCCCATATGTAGATCGCCACGTAAAATGTGACGGTGTCTCGCTTTCCGATAGCTATCCGCAGAGAGTTTTCAGTGACGAAACTGCACACCCGACCCTATATTCTCAGTAACCAGCTGTCCCTGGGGCTTTGGGGACGGCCCTCCTTCCTCGTAGAGCGCCCACGGACGGCGCTCCCAGGGGGATTGGAGACGACCGTCTTACCTTGACACGACTGGCCTTCTCAGGGGGCCCGGGGATGGTCCCAGTGCCGAGCCCAGTGAACACATCCAATCCGCGTGCGGTGTTGACGGCATGTGAGCTGAGCCGACTATAGGGATGACACGGGGCAGGTCAGCCTCCCTATCCACTGGGCCGGTCCAGTTGCATTGGTCACCTGCGCTAACAATTTAAAATGGTGAGAGGCGAGAGCGCACTCATCCTCGACTGCCACCCTAAGTTCTCTCAAATAAGTTCTTTTTGTGGTGACTTTGAAAAGAGTTGGCCATCCATTATCCAATATTCAAGTATCATAAGCTTGCAAGCCTTTTAATTGAATTGAATCGATGCTATTTCAGAGCGACAAGAGTCGGGTTTCAGTTCACCTCTGGAGTTGATGACTCAGTTTTCTGGCAGACAGCAGTGCAACTCAGCACCGCAAAGTTGTCTGTTTTCAGGCGGTGAACTGGGCAGAGTTCCCGGAGCCCCGCGGACTGGCCACTAATGCATCGCCGCTCGAATGTCGCCCATCCGAGTCCGACACAGGCGTCCGCCCGGCCCGCCTCGTGTGTGTCTTTGTCAGGGTGTCAGTGTGTCACGACACCGGCCGCTGAGACGAGTATCGGCCCGGGCAACTGTCGGTGAAATTGAATCGCCGCCTCCGCGCGCCGCGCCGCTGGGCGCTGTGGGAGCGGCGGGCCGTCACGTGCACGCCCGGTTCGCCGAGCCCGTTCACGGGGACTCGGGAATACCGAGATGGGTCGACCAGAGGTACTTACACCGTGCCCACTGCAGGCAGCACTGCTAATGTCAGCCGCATTGTGCACACTCGGCGCTCTGAAATATTCCCCGGCACATCTGCCAATAATGGTGCCGCCATGCTCATGAAAATTGCTAATGTATCCAATTAGGAAATGATATTGCCGGACGGGCCGCGTGTTATTACAGCCACGGAAATTATGTAAATAAAATGGTAATTAGTGCTAAAAGAAAATTGTGTCCTCATGATGAAACAAACTTTGTTGAAATTTGACCACCATATGTTCTTGGTGCATACTTGTTATTAACATTTTGATTATATTTGAAGAGTGAAGAGGATCAAAAGCATTATTGCAATGTGTAACACAGCCTTAGACCCTTCCAATGTTCAATTTCTGCAAAATTGCAGGTGTAAAGGGCTGCATGAGACGGCATTATTTGTAGAGTGTGTTTCGATATTTAAGTAAATAAACGTTTGGTTTAAACCCGTTTTAGCTCCTTTACTGAAACAGCTAAAATGCATTGCTTCTTCACACAAGTAAATGTTCCTAATATTAGAAAGAGATGGAAAAGATCGGAAATGGAAAGATTAAACGAAAAAGAAAAGGTCAATGAATGATCATATCACGGTCTATTTACCGTTAACATTGCTTGTTCAAAGCCGTTGGTTAGTTCCGTTTTATCTTGGACTAGCTCCCCTTCGTACCTAAGCCAACTTTTGTTCCATTCATTTCATTTACTATTGTTCAATTGCTCCAGCCTGACACTCCGTCGCGTTCACTAAGTTACTTACAACTGTGCCTGGTAAGTTGACTTATATTAGTTAGTGCTGTTACGTTATTTCAGTGTCGAATTTTCGTTATGTTATAACTCGACAAGTAATAAATGTTTTCGGCAGCAAGCAATATTATTGCAACCGCTGGCTGCTGTAAAACAATGCGACTGATTTTACGTAGAAGAATGAAATGGGTTCTCAAAACTTGTGGATTGTTATTCTTCGAGATGTACTACGATACACATCTGCTCGTCGCGCCAGCGCGGCTCACATTTCCTTTTCATTCACCGAGTTCCGTTTGCTTTTAAGCTCAGCCGGAAACTTAGCCGGGCTGCAGACTCATTGATGCCAAGCCCAAGTTCGGCACGAAGCCGTTCCACTGCATAAGGGCGCGGGGCGGTGCGCGCCACAGCGGCGTCGTTTCGGAGAAGTTGGCCGGCGGCGGCCACCGGCGGCGGACGACACTGGCGCCCAAGTTGGTCGTCATCATCGGCGCCGCCACCAGAGACGGCCCGCGAGTCGAGAGCGGCGCCGGCCGCCGTGACATTGGACGGCACTCAGCGGCGCCGGCCGGACCGCTGCGCCGGTACCGAGAACGGTCAGCGCGCCGGACAGCGAGACTGAGACAGCGAGACAGAGGCAGCACTACCAGACAGCGAGACAGAGACAGCACTATCAGACAGTCAGACAGAGAGACACAGACAGCGAGACTGGGACAGCGAGACAGAGACAGCACTACCAGACAGTGAGACAGAGAGACGCAGACAGCGAGACTGAGACAGCGAGACAGATACAGCACTACCAGACAGTGAGACAGAGAGACACAGACAGCGAGACTGAGACAGAGAGACAGAGGCAGCACTACCAGACAGCGAGACTGAGACAGCACTATCAGACAGAGAGACAGAGAGACACAGACAGCGAGACTGAGACAGAGAGACAGAGGCAGCACTACCAGACAGCGAGACTGAGACAGCACTATCAGACAGAGAGACAGAGAGACACAGACAGCGAGACTGAGACAGAGAGACAGAGGCAGCACTACCAGACAGCGAGACAGAGAGACACAGACAGCGAGCCGAGACAGCTCCTCCGGACAGCGAGACACAGACAGCGAGCCGAGACAGTGAGACAGAGAAGCACTACCAGACAGCGAGACAGAGAGACACAGACAGCGAGCCGAGACAGTGAGACAGAGAAGCACTACCAGACAGCGAGACAGAGAGACACAGACAGCGAGCCGAGACAGCGCGCCGGACAGCGAGACAGACAGCACTACCAGACAGCGAGCGGGGAGGCAGCACTATCAGACAGCGAGACAGAGACTGCGCTATCAGACAGCGAGACAGAGATAGCGCTATCAGACAGCGAGATAGAGACAGCGCCGGCGGACAGCGAGCCGGGAGGTAATGCGAACTTTTCAGGACACAGTGCCGCTCTGCACTTTGTTCATCAAGACAGCCCATATTCAGCCCATATTCAGCCCGGATTCAGCCCATATTCAGCACATGCACTTTGGTCCAGGCTGGCTTGCGTAGCGTCGGACTCGCAGGAGCTCGGGCCTGAGCCATACAACACTCAATATAAGTGAGGTCATACGGTTCTAGTTGTTTGGTAGATGGGCATTAATAGTTTAATCAAATATCGATTTGTACCCGCGCCGATCTTACGACGGAAGTTATCGGTACTGGCCGAATACCTACTACGTGTAAGCAGCAAGGGCAGCTTACCAACTGGCCACTGACCGCTGACCGCTCCTAGCTGACCGCTGACCACTGACCGTCGTTCGGTGACTGACCGCTGACCGTCGCTCGGCGGCTGACCGTTGCGAATCTGGCCTGGTCCTCTCGGGGCGGCGCGCGGCCGCCATAGATCATCTGCAGTGGGCCGGCGCGCCTATCCTCCCACGGCCGCGCGCCTCTGAATAGGGGCTCGTAAATCGCCGCCGACCGGCCGCCGCGCCGACCGCCGTCCGACACACTCCCGGTCACACGCGCACGCTATGGGTCGCCGGGAGCGGGTGTCGCCGCGGGGGCGGGAGGCGCCAGGGGTGACAGTCGCCGCGGAATGGCCAGAGGCGGTCTGACGGGGTACTCTGAGTCCGTCCTCTCACCGACGTTTAGGGGCTTGGAGGGGGTTGATGTTTGATAGTTGTCGTCATTCAACATCACACCAGTCACCACCATGATGATGTATTCACTGGCGCCCATACAGTGAAACCAGGTGTCGTTGTTTAGTGAAACCAAAATAAAATAAAGTGACACCACACCACGAGTTTTTCAATTTTGATAAACTCGTGGTGTGATCGGTAACCGATGAAAAGTGACCAGTAAAAAACATCAGACCTGCTGTGGCCTGACCTGTAGCCTGAATTGCGGGCTTGCCCGCCGGGCGGCGAGTGTCGTGGCCCAGTCTGTCATCGTGACCGTCTGCCTCCTCCGGCTCCCGCAGATTCTCCGGAGGTGCGTCTGGCCGGCCGGCCCGACCGCGACCTCGAGGAGAACGTCGACTCTGTGGTGTTGCGCTGTGTGGCCGACGCCAACCCGCCGGCCAACGTGTTCTGGCGCTTCGTGTCGCGAGACACGGGCCGCACCGAGACCTTCTACGTGGACACACTGGAGCTGCGGCCGGTCACCCGGAAAAACTCGGGCACCTACCAGTGCGAGGCGGGCAACACGGTGGGCAAGAGCGAGCCGCTCACCACCGCGCTCGACATCAAATGTGAGCTGCCGCGCGTCCGTCCCTGGGGTGGCCGAGTGTGTGTGTGGGGGGGGGGGGCGGTGAAAGGACGCAGGGGACCCTTTCGGAGGACTGCAATACTTTGTGATTCGATATGTGGTCTGTAACTGTATGTGCCCTTGTTCGTGACCTTGTTATATGACCTGCCCGTGACAGCTGTGACCTAAGCTGACCGTGCGCCGTGTGTGGCAGTCGCTCCGTCCATCTACCGCGTGCAGCCGGAGCGTCGTGTCACCGTGGACCTGTACAACACCACCGAACTGGCGTGTGACGCCGAGGGCAGCCCGCCGCCCAGCTACCAGTGGCTGCAGCGGCTGCCCGACGGACAGGGCACCGTCTTCATACGCGGCACGTCACAGGTGAGGGCGCCGGACAGGGCACCGTCTTCATACGCGGCACGTCACAGGTGAGTGTGACAGACACGACTGCCCGACGGACAGGGCACCGTCTTCATACGCGGCACGTCACAGGTGAGGGCGCCGGGGACTGGCCAGGGCACCGTCTTCATACGCGGCACGTCACAGGTGAGATACGTGTGCCGGGAGCAATTACTGACCGACTGGGAATACAACCTGTGGCGAAACCACGTACGGAACTCACCTGGCGTGATAATGGCACATGGGTGAAAGATAATTGTAACTTAGGGGATAACAACCCTTCCACTACGACTTGATATCCTCTGTAACCGCCATTCCCAGTACTTTGCAACTGGCTGCATTTTTAGGAACAAAAAATAACCAGACCAATGGACGTAATTGCAACAGACGTCCGTTGATTTATGTCCTTGTTTCGTTTAGCTCTGGGCTGAAGTGTCGCCACGAGCCTAATTGCCGTGGGCCACCGGCTGGTCTACCGTCTGTTGCTAGGTCTGAGGGTGTGGGACAGCCCGCGGTTGTCGTCCTCTGGCCGTCAGTTCACTCACTGGCGGATCCAGGGGGGGGGGCCACGGGGGCCATGCCCCCCCCCCCCAAAGGCCTAAAGTGGCCTGTTTGCCCCCCAAAACGCCAGAAAAATTGCTAAGAAAATATACCTTGATGGAGGTTTTTAGCCACTTGGTGAAGTAAAGCTTTCCACAGCATAATATGGAAGCAATATAGTAGCAGTGAGGGTCAGTCAAAAGTTGCGCGAGCGGAGTCGACCTTAACCCGCGCCCTGCTGGGGGTCCTGGATTTCCACGCCCTGCTGGGGGGGGGGGGTGTTTGAACACCCCCCCCTTGTAACTCGGCTCCTGGGCCACGTAGCGATACGCGGAAGGCGGCGTTCGAAAGAGCGTCAAAAATAATGACGAAATCACTTCGGTCAATTTTTTGGTCAGGTCAAAGGTCAGGTCACCAGAGGTCATTGAAGGCAAAATTTCGCCGATTTCCAGGTCGAATGTCGAAAATTTCCAAGAAGCCAACGCATAACTCGGGAACCAATAGAGCTACAGCGCCGCGGAAAAGCGCATTCGATAGCCCTATTAACGCCCTTTCTGAGTAATTCTCTCAGATTTGACCTAACGTCAACGGTTTTGCCTGCAGGGGGCAAAAACTGCAAAAATAGCCGATTTTTTCGGAAACAGTTTTTCTGCAATAACTTTTGACCCAAGCCTTGTACGAGCTTACTTTTACCGGCATCGTGTTCCTCTCGTCAAGACGCATCGAATGAACTATAACTTGACCTTGAAAGGTCAACTTGAAAATTTGACCTCAGGTCAAGGTCATGACCTGACCGGAAAGGGTCATGTTGCATATCAGTCGATCCGTATCGTCGAGCTGAACACATCTAAGGCGTTTTCATCGCTCTAGCATGCCTCTATCAAAAGTTATTTGCGAAAAACTGTTAGATACCATTCGTGACCTAAGATGACCTCAGGGCATAAACAAGGGTCACGGACACCATTTTCATGTTCAGTGTGTCTAAACCACTTGTAATTCGGTGTTTGGGAGTGTTTATAATGTCTTTCATCCAAAAGAGGCGCATTTCAATTTTCTCCCATTGACTTATAATGGGGAGGTCGCAAAATTGACCTGACCTTAGGTCATCGATATCAAAATTCTGAGATATACATTTTGTACATGCTATTGCTCTTAGCAATCGCTGAAAGTTTCAAAGCGATCGGTCACTCGGTGTAGCTATGACAGACATTGAAAGTTTTTATGAGGTGAGGTCACTTCAAGTGACCTGGTGACCTGACCTTGAATGACCTTGGTCTGAAATTTTCACAACATGTGTAGAATTGATGTATGATAAGGTGTACCAAAAACGGCGGCGCTCCGCGCCGCCGTTTTTGAGATATTCGCGAAAAACCACAAGGGGGGGTGTTCAAACACCCCCCCCCCCAGCAGGGCGCGGGTTAAAAAAAGACTGTTGTTGGCACGTGTTTATGGCGCGGCAGCTGGTAGTTGGCGGTGTTTCGCGTGGTGTGGCATCACTGGCGGATCTGGGGGGAGGTGGGGGGGGGGGGCACGGGAGCCTGAGGTGCCCCTGACAGGCCCGTGGTGCCCTTGCTAGGCCTGTGGTGCCCCTGGACCCTGGCAGGCCTGTGGTACAGTCCACAGCAGAAGTAATGTGGGGTTTCAGTCATGGGTATGTTCTGCTTCTGAAGCTTAGGAACGATTAGCCAGACTACAATGAAACTTTGAATGTAGCTTATATGTATCGTCACCCTTGCAGCTGCAACTTTAGCTATTGACATCTTCTTTTCAATCACTTCGCATTAAACAATCGCCAGTCAAAGCCAACCGTTGAGTTTGGTAAAACCCTACATTACTTTAGCGGTGGGCTGTACCTCTGGCGGGCCTAGGGTGCCCCTGCTAGGCTGCTGATGCCCCTGGGACCTGACAGGACTGTGGTGCCCCTGACAAGCCTAAAGTGCCCCCAACAGGCCCGTGATGCCCCCGACAGGCCCAAGGTGCCCCTGCGTGATGCCGTGATGCCTGCGAGGCCGGTGGTGCCCCCTGCGAGGCCGGTGGGGCCCCTGACAGGCCCATGGTGCCCCTGCTAGACCGGTGGTGCCCCTGGCAGGCCTGTGGTGCCCCTGCTAGGCCGCTGGTGCCCCTGAGCCCTGACAGGACTGTGGTGCCCCTGACAGGCCCAAGGTGCCCCTGCAAGGCCGGTGGTGCCCCTGTAAGGCCTGTGGTACCCCTGCTAGGCCTCTGGTGTCCCTGACAGGCCCATGGTGCCCCTGCGAGGCCGGCGGCGCCCCTGGCAGGTCTCTGGTGTCCCTGACAGACCTGGGGTGCCCCTAACAAGCCTGTGGGGCCCCTCACAGGCCCGTGGTGCCCTTGCTAGGCCTGTGGTGCCCCTGGCGGGCTGGTGGTGCCCCTACTAGGCCGGTGGTGCCCCTGACAGGCCTGTGGTGCCCCCGGGCACCAAGGGGGTCATGACCCATGTGGCCCCCCTTGGATCTGCCACTGATGCATAATATATTGATTTGTAAAGGCGTTATGGCTTATGCAATATGCAATTGCAGGCACTTGGTATCCCTCACTTATCCCTCATTGGGGCTCTGGCGGGCTCCTGAGGGCCCACGTCTATCTCCGGGAGCCCATATAGACAGGCTCCTTTGGGTCCTTTCAGTACACTATAGCATAAGAGGTCTCCATGCGAGTCCTATACATACATCTGAGGGCGTAGCCGTACCCTGATGTCTGAGGTACCCAACTGCAGCTCCAATGGTCTCTTCTTACACTGGCGGATCCAGGGAGGGGGCATTTAGGGCCATGCCCCCTTCCCAGAGGCCTAAAGTGGCCCGTTTTCCCCCTCCCCCAAACGATAATGAAACATAGTTCAATCAGGGCGAGGCCCAGGAGCCGAGTTAGACAGGGCTGTTTTACCACCTCCCGGCCCGCAAAGGGACCCAAGCACTGACTCGAAGCGGGTTAAAGAGACCCTCCCACCTTCAAAAAAGTTAATGAATTGGCATGAAAGTGATGTCGCTAGGTTCAGAAAGGGCGAAAACGAATATCTACCAAATTTTATCGAAAAATATTCACCGGTTTTCAAGAGATTAGACTTTTATTTTTGTTTACTTTTTGGGATATCCGCTGCTGTTCCTAGCGACTTTATTTGAAAGTGCGGCATTTGTTGCGCGCAAAGCAGCCTATACCACCGCATGCTACCAAACGTTGTAGTAAAATATTAAAAAATCATTAGATCTCCGCTAACGTCACACATTCAGAGGGGTATCCAAAAGCATTAGCCCCTCTGAATCAAAATGCTGCAATTTTGAAATTCAATATTTCCGATTTAAGGCATTTCTCGATGTTGTGAGTGCGTGCCGAAACCGGTAATTGTGAGCCAGGGACCCCATTTTGGCTATCTCAGCTCAAATCTAATGTTAAGGTGGGAGGGTCCCTTTAACTGGTCGATAAAAACAATGGTAAGTGTTTACAAAGTAATATAAAGGCATGGGTCGGGTGGGCTACCATTTATATATTTTTCTTTTTAGTTAAAAAAAAAATACATAGTGTCAGGGCTGTGACGAAAAATAAGTGGCCTAAATCCGATGAGAAAACAGGATTTGGGGGTACCCTAGGTTTGGCTCCTGCATGAGTTGCCCCCCCCCCCAAAACGCAAGCCTGGATCCGCCAGTGAGTTCACTGGCGATTGACACCCCCCCCCCCCTCTGTCACAGGTGCTGCGGATCCACAACATCACGTACGCCAACCAGGGCCAGTACGTGTGCGTCGCCAAAAACGTCATCAACGGCAACGAACGGCGCGTCCAGGGCGACGCCGTCGACGTCGAGGTCGTGGGTGAGTCGGGAGATGGGAACGGAAAAGATAGGGAGAGGGAGAGAGAGTCGATATAGAGGGATATTAGCGAATATCAAGCAATTGATATATTTATGTATTTGTTGCTCATTAGTAATTCCTCATTGGTCACGAAAGCGAAGTGTTTGCTCTATTTTACTTTTGCCAATTATTATATCGATGAATGATTATTTGCAATACATTATTTATGAAACAGCTGACGGCTGGTAAGCTTTCTCTGGTAGGTATACATTTCATGTTTGGCCTCCGAAACTGGATACCTCTCCTCCACTCTCGCGAGCGGAGGGCCATCTCCCTTCCCCGACCCTGTCGACCCGGTATCGGCTCCGTTATGTCGGCGTGCCGTGTCCAAACTACGGACCTACTGTTCGGCAGCCACTGCCGATAACAGCCGCGTGACGTCACACCGGCGGCAGTGACGTCAGACGCATGGGGTGGTATGGGCCGCCACTGCACCGCCACAATGGGACCTATGGGCCGGTCCGGGCCGCCGGCTGGCCGATATTGGCCCCGGCGGTGTGGCGGTCACGCCGGGCCCGTCTCCCCGACCGCCGATCACCCGGCTCTGATTTGACGGGGCGGCGCCGCGACAAATGCCTCCTGTCGCTATCGACGGCCGCCGATGGCCCGCCGTGGCGCGGCTCGGGGTGACGTCTGTGTCTGAGTGGCCTCCGACAGGCCCGGGGACCCTCGCAGATCCCATACGGTCGGACGGAGAGACCGCCGGCACGGACCGGGTCAGAGACAGAGACCGGCGACACGGACCGGGTCACAGACAGAGACCGGCGACACGGACCGGGTCAGAGACAGAGAGACCGGCGACACGGACCGGGTCAGAGACAGAGACCGCCGGCACGGACCGGGTCAGAGACCTCAGACCGGCGACACGGACCGGGTCAGAGACAGAGACCGGCGACACGGACCGGGTCAGAGACAGAGACCGGCGACACGGACCGGGCCAGAGACAGAGAGCGACGCGGACCGGGTCAGAGAGACCGGCGGCACGGACCGGGTCAGAGAGACAGAGACCGGCGACACGGACCGGGCAGAGACAGAGACCGGGCAGAGACAGAGACCGGCGGTCCAACGCTCCTCCGGCACGGTCGGGGCCCGTGACGCGCCACTTGATGGCAAACAAACACACACGGCCTTATTGCCGAGCCTGTCAGTCGGGCGGCGCGCGATCGTCGCTAATACGGCGCCCGATCGCCGCTAATATGATGCAAATACGGAGCACAAACACGGACCAGTTCCAGCCTCCCCGGCCTGTCAGACCGGAGCGGCGGTAGAGAACCGTCACGGCGGACCTCGGGAACCGTCGGGGGACCCCTGGGGACCGTCACAGGACCGTTGGTCTGTCCGTGATTCGAGGGTCTGCCAAAAGGCCACCGATGGCCATGGAACCATTGGAGATCGTCTTGGACCATCGCTCGTGAGGATTACTGGGATGGGATCCTTAAGAAAACTATCATAGAACCGCCGAGAACCGCCCGGCGGTCTCAGCGCGCGGTCCGCGGCGGTCTCAGCGCGCGGTCCGCGACCCGGCGGTCTCAGCGCGCGGTCCGCGGCCCGGCGGTCTCGGCGCGCGGTCCGCGGCGGTCTCAGCGCGCGGTCCGCGGCGCCCGGCTGATTGGCGCCCGTGCCGCTGATTACGGCTCGTTCTGCAGCCGACTGGTGTAAATGATCCGCTGCCGGGCGGCAGACAGGGGTAGCCGCCGTGGACGCGGCCCGCTGCCGGAGGGGCGCCGATCGGTACTTATTGTTGCGTGATGTGACCATGTCAACACCAAATGACCAATGGTGGTCGCTCCATCTGTGGATTGTTTTTGCAGTAAATTGTCCTCCCTGCTCCTCTTGTTCTCTTTTCACCGAAGTGTTCCTTTCACTCTCCATGCTCTTGTCAGTTCCGGAAGCGTCAGGCATCCCCAAGGTGACCCCCTCCCTCCCGTTCCCTGCAGGGCCCCCTCAGGTGCTGCGGCGTCAGGCGACCCCCGAGGTGACCCCGTCCCTCCCTCCCGTTCCCTGCAGGGCCCCCTCAGGTGCTGCGGCGTCAGGTGACCCCTGAGTGACCTCCCTCCCTCCCGTTCCCTGCAGGGCCCCCTCAGGTGCTGCGGCGTCAGGTGACCCCCGAGGTGACCTCCCTCCCTCCCTCCCGTTCCCTGCAGGGCCCCCTCAGGTGCTGCGGCGTCAGGCGACCCCCGAGGTGACCCCCTTCCCCACCTGTTCCCTGCAGGGCCCCCTCAGGTGCTGCGGCGTCAGGCGACCCCCGAGGTGACCTCCCTCCCTCCCTCCCGTTCCCTGCAGGGCCCCCTCAGGTGCTGCGGCGTCAGGCGACCCCCGAGGTGCTGGCGGAGGAGGGCCGGGAGGCGGTGCTGGAGGTCACATTCTGCAGTGACCCGCTGCCCACACTCAGTGTGTGGCACTGGGGCAGCCTGCAGCTGCAGACCGGCCACAGCCAGGGCCGCTTCGTCGCCGAACAGGTCACCCAGGTGAGCCGGACGGCAGAGGACAGTAACACCGCCGCGCCGGGGACCAGGGCAGGCAGACAGAGCAACTGTTTCCCAAAGGGGATGAAGACCTAAGGGGGTAGGCAGATGGGGAAACAGGGCAGACAGGTCAATCAGAACACCCGGTGGATGGGTCGAGGGACTGGTCGGGCGAGATTTCGAAGGTCACAACTCACAGATGTAGCAATATAATACCAGCAGTATCCGCTATCCAGATCGGTTACAGTGTACAATAAACTGTCAGCCTACATATTAGTTATATCGTCGGTATATTGTATTCACATACCCCGAGGTACGGTTATGGCATGCGTGCTCAGGGTGAGGTGAATGTGCGGTGAGTTGTAAGAATGGATAAGAGCTGTAAGAAGGCGGGCTCACGTGTTCACCTGGCCCACTCCTGGCGGTGGTCTGGGGCGTCCGTGGTGCCGCTCGTTAACTCTGGTCGAATCAAGTCGACCCGGCTGACCGGCCCATTGTTCCCCGCCGCCGTTCGCGGATCTGCCGCCGCCTCTATTTCTGTCGTCCTCAGCGGCGGACGGACGTAATGTCGTTTGGTCGGCCGTCATTTCCCGTCGAGTCGCCATTTAGCGGACACAGCCGGTCGCGCTGTCGGCGCCGCGCGATGAGTCGCAGCCGACGTCAGGTGTCATCGCTGAATGGTGTACCAGAGCGAGGCCTAGAGGGCGGGCGGAGGTGCTCCGTCCTCCGTCCGCAGGACACCAGCGAGGACTGTTACGTGGCGCAGAGCTGGCGTTACTGACCGTCCCTCCGTCCCCAGGACTCCATCACGTGGCGCAGAGCTGGCGTTACTGACCGTCCCTCCGTCCTCAGGACTCCAGCGAGGACTGTTACGTGGCGCAGAGCTGGCGTTACTGACCGTCCCTCCGTCCCCAGGACTCCCGCGAGGACTGTTACGTGGCGCAGAGCTGGCGTTACTGACTACTGACCGCCCCTCCGTCCACAGGACTCCAGCGAGGACTGTTACGTGGCCCGGCTGAGGCTGCAGGGAGTGGAAGCAGCCGATGAGCGAGACTACCTGCTGAAGGTGCAGAATGACCGCGGATCCGACCAGTACGGCGTCTCGCTCCGGGTCAAAGGTGAGGTCAGAGGTCACTACAGGCCACCGCTCCAGCGAAGGGGTCGCCGCTCAGGACAGGGCAAGGAAGGCGAGGGCGCCAGCGTTTGTTTATGTGAGAAATACTCTGTGTGCTACATTTCTTGGCGATGGCTGCATGACGATACTCGCAAAAAAAGAAAATAGAATAAAAATAAGATATAATTGAATTACAGCAAATACATGTTGTAAAATCTGCGTAAAAAGAAACGTATTTGGAAATTCGGAGTATTCGGTATTCGTATTCGGAGTAGTAATTTATGTGCTAAACCAGATTCGACGAGCCTATGTTTATGGCTAAGTTCGTGACTTTTCGCTTTGCATGTGTTTTTTTTTTCAAAATAAGAATTAAATGCTTTTGTCCTACATGCGGTGATAACCACCCTTCTTTCATCACGTTTTACTTGAAAAGAGAAAATTCTGATCCTTGCATTTTGTATTTGTTATGTTTAAGGTCATGCACCCAGCGAGTCGTGTTTATTAATTTTTGCCAAGATTTTTGTGTTAGCCTGATGGCCGGTCGCCACTGCCTGACGTCGCCACCGTCGCGCCCGGGTCCGTCGGTAGCTGCTATGGCCGCTGTTTCAGGGTTTCGTCTGCTTACAGAGCCGGTAACCATGGCAACGCTCATCAGCCTCGTGTGCGGCTGCCTGGTGGCGCTCGTCCTCGTCGTCGCCCTGCTCTTGTACGCCTTTAAAAAGGAGAAGTGGTGCTTCTCGCGTGAGTACTGGGCGGCGGATGGGTGGGCGGTGGGGATTCAGCGCACATAATGCACGCATAACGGTGGAGGAGCGCACCCGACGGACTGATTATCGGTAACACAACTCTTCTTCAGTTATTCACTGTAGCTACTTTGATGCAAGTTACTGCCACCACTGAACTATGCGCACTTCTTGATTCCGTCAATCCTGGGTTTCTCGTGCTGGCGTCTGTCGCTTTTCATGCTATCTGTCTAGTCTGCCTATTGGCAATTATTGCCTTCTGAGTACGTAGTGTTTAACTGCCTTCCACCGGTCGCTACCGGTTCTATAGGCGTCGCAGCGACGACGGAGCCTCATCCGAGCAGGGACCTGCTGTTTGCCTTCTCACCAGCCACGCATCCACCGCCGCCTCACGTCCTCAAGTAGATGGCGCCACCACCTCTCCGACAGAGGTCACCACTAGCGCCGGAACAGATGTCGCCACCATAATGTGGCGTAGCCCGTCCTCGTGCTTTGTACAATGGCGGAAATTTGAACTGAGCTGTGAACTTGAGTGTGTGGCGGTTGTTCACCCGACGGTCTTGGAGTGCTGTGGTGAAAAGCGGTTACTAAATAATTTACAAAGTAGCTTGTATCAAGTACCTACAGATTGCGACTTTAGTCCCATGCCACATGTTCGTGTGACCTTAGCAGAGGTGTTGTAACAGGCGCAGCGCGATTAGTCAGAAGGACCAGTATTTTTATCATTTTGGCCAATGGTCCGAGTAGTCGCTATAGTGCGCCACCACAGCTGTCCAGGCCACACACCCACGCTAATGCACGTGAGCCTGCTCCTGGGGCTCACGACTTACTCATGACTTATAATGGTGACCGTCCAGCCCGGAGCAGGGTTTGGGGATGAGGACTCCTCAAGTCCTCACCTCTAGTCACTGACGAGGCTATGTGCATCATGAGGATAGCTAGATAAGCGGGATTATAGGCCCTGGCCGTAGGATGAAGCAGCGCTGCTTTCATACGCCACGATGTCCGGGTAGCTGAAACGGTGTGGATGGACTGCGCGAATGTCTATGCATCGTTTGGGCAGATTATTGCTGTTACGTGGACGCCATTAGCAAAGAGCAACGGTGTACCCATAAACCGAAAGTGGCATTGAGTCCTGCCGTCCAGTAACAGCAGTGAGATGTGATGCTCGTCAGTTATGTGTGCTGATACTGGCGCCCAAATAGCAGTCGTGAGGTCCGACACCGCTGAGAAGTAGCCGGTGCTACGCCAGACGTTCACGAGGGTATATACAGTGGCAGACGGACGCAACTTCCCACTGTATCCCTCCCCCTAGAAGAAACAATATGTAGTACCTAGCAGTTCGGACAGCTGCCGCAGCTCTGTTCTGGGGCGCCCGACGGCTGCCACTGGCGCCCAGGAGGCCCTCACTGCACATAAACCAGTAAAACGCCTTTTGGGCGAAGAACGAGCGAGCGAGATAGTGAGCCCTGCACGTGCGGAAGGGCGAGAGGGATACTTCCAACGGGCTTGCGCAAAGCACCCTTCTAACCGGTCGCTAGCGGTGTGCCAAATTTGAACGCAATCGGCCCAGCCGTTCCTGAGATCTGGATGCGGCATTCTGCACGTGCGCACGTGCAAACGGGGTCCAAATGACTTTTGCACGGCACCCTACTAACCGGTCCCCAACCGTGTAATAAATTTGAGCGCAATCGGCCCAGCCGTTCTCGATATCTGGAAACGCCCCCTGCACGTGCGCACGTGCAGTAGCACCCTAACCACAACACATGGGAATGCATTGCGTGGTGGGTGCCTACCGGTATGCCAAGTTTCGGCGAAATCGCCCCAGTAATTACCGAGTTACTGAAATGGGAACAAATTTGGCACCTCTTCTTTTTGTATTTTGCACGTGCAGTGGGGGTCACTCACATAGATCAAGAGTATCCGACCTTTGGTAGAAGGGATGCAGCTACCCTATAAAAATTACCGCAAGACAATCGCTCAAGCCGCTGCTGAGATATGGGCCTCTCAAAATCATTACTTTTGCAAAACTGCTTGAACACCCTTGACTTTTCACGTGGCACGTGCCACGACGGTCACTGAGATGTATCAAAAATAGTCAATTACGGGGTAGAAGGGATGGGGTTACCCAGCAAAAAAGACCGCAGGCCAATCGGTCCAGCGGTTGCTGAGATATAAGCCTCTCAAAAGCGTTACAGGCCGGGCCGGGCCGGGCCGGGCCGGGCCGCTCATACTGAGATTTTCCCGTTATATTGAAAAGACTTCGCTTCGCTCGCTGCGCTCGCTCGCTCGTAATAACTATGGTATTAGAAGGTTGTAAGTGTCAGATTAAAAAGTATTTTAAGAGAAAGTATGACGTTTCTTATTTTTTAAAGACAAATTATTCGACCTTTATGTTATTTTTACTGTAGCTTTTATAAAATATCAAAAATTAGCACATTTTTGAATGTGGAAACGTTTTTTTTTCCTCTTTTTGCAACAGGGCAGCAGTACTTGTAGTACCTGTAACACGACACCCACCGAAAAGGTATTGTCCTTTTCTATAAAAGTCGCAGTGTATGGCGCTTGTGTCACACATCATAACGGCGCTTCAGTTTTTGAATGTTATGGCCTTGGTCATTGCTTGTTTGTTAGTGTTTTGAGCATTCGGACTTGTTCTCAAGAAGATTAGGTATTTAGGACTCGATTGCGGCCAATGAAGTCAGGTGGAACCAGCTACGAAATATTATGTTGTCCGTTACTTTAAATTTGGGCTCACCAGTATCCAAAGAAGGGTAATGTACCTAATTGTTTCGATTTATCATAGAAATATTTTCCCATATACTAAGAATTAAAACAATTAATACCCAGCTGCTCCAAACATAAAGAGGGAGGCTGTGTCTTCGTCCGCTCCTTATTTACAAATAGAATTGCTGCAACTTAATTTTGTATGACATTAACCCGTGCCGTGCCCATCAGTTTTTAATAATTTCCAAAAGTACAGGGGAAAACTTCATAAGAAAACCCTTTATAGACAAATGGAACGTAAGGGCAGCGACCAAGTAAAGTGAACATGTCTAATATTGGTAAATGTTTAGGTACTTACCCACCTATCCATGCTTCTATCCTCAGGATACTAAAATCCTTCTCCTCCACGCCGCAACCCCCCTCCGGGCTGGACAGGTAACTTTATCTCATGCGGGCTGCTCCCTTGGAGCGGCACCGCTGCTCCTGAGGGAGCGCACCCCGTAGCCGGGTGCAGTGAGTGCCTTGGGGCTGGGTGGCCTGTCCTCTGGATGGGCTCAGCCCCGGCGACTGACTAGGGTGCCTGCCCAGACCAATGTCTCCCCCTAATTCCTATCATCCCTCCGGCTCTGAAATGGTCTTGTCGACCGAAAGGGCCTAACCCAACAAAACAAACAAACAAACAAAAATAGGTACTTACCGCTTTTTGGTATACACCTGCAAGTTTAAAAAATATATATTTTTTGGATTTGCTGCTAAAGGGATTTCAATAATTTCACCGTACATTGTGCACTGTGCAATGTACATCCTCAAAGTTATCTTACGGATGGGCTTGGCAAGTGCCAGATAGTCCGCGCATTAATGCGGCAATACGATATAGCCTTGCCGCTGTTAGGCCTCATAACACCGGACTTGCGGCATTACATGCTAACAACCCAAATGGCGCCCGACACTCCGAACCGCATCCTACATTCGCGGCGCTGAATAATGAGCGTTATCTATATTTTTAGCATACGGTTTGTGTCAGGTCCTTTAGAACGTGTGCTGAGTGTTCAATGTGCAGGGTTACAGCTGTTGGTGCCGGCGCATCATTCTACTTGCTGTGTCACCTATCTGTCTTCTGTGAGGGGCAGGCATTTAGTATCGATAACCACTGTCGCCGGCGCTGTGTCCGTGACTGAGGCTCCTTCACGCTGCTGATTGATTTTGTTTTGGTTGATCGGGCTTGCTAGAAATGCCCTTCAACACTGTGTCACATGTAATGATGCCATTGTAATAAACTTGTTACGTAAATTAGGTACCTTTTTGCATGCTGTATCGAGGATTGTGCTCAAAGGTAACGCCATTATGACTACTTCAAGTAGAAGATCGCATGATTATGTAATTCCATGCGGTACCGTTTACCGATACCAAGACTTGTATAGCGTTGCAAACTTTATCTATAGGTAGACCGGGCGCCACTGTTTTGGTTTAGACAACCCATCTTTTCATGCATAATGACCCTTTTCGACATCACCACGGTAACCTATCGCTTTACTTTGTTGCAGAGAAGGGTGGATTTAAGCCGACGGATTTAGAAAGGTGAGCTCGCTGGTCCTATATAGTTTCAACCGTATAGGCATGCGAGTATAGATGAGAATGCTTTCTGGTCGAAACTTTCACGATGTCCTAAATGTCGAGCTTTACGTTAGTGTGGTGTCTCAAACTATAGCTGATCGTGTGTTAGAATATGTCGGTGTGAGGTCTGAGAGAGTGCTAACCCAAGTTCTGCCCGTTTCGTGGCATGTCTGGATGAAATAGATCGAAATTGAAGTGCACGAATAGTGAAACTTGGAACTGTTGTCCAGTAGTTATTTCGTTCTTGCATCGAACTTTGCCTGTCACTTATTGCAAAAAATTGCAACTGCGATAAAAATATAACTTTTGAGAGAGAAAAAACACAATGTAAATTGTAATGCATCATTTTATTTATGCTAAAACTATTACCGCCAACACATTCGTCCAAATAGGGCAATGCAAATTTATTTCGTTCGGTTTTGTTGCTTGCGTGTTTACATAAAACTGGTAAGATATACTTATCAGAGGTGAACTATCTATTAACCGCTCGCCTAGCTCGCACCCATATGCTCGCATGAAGGCGCTGGCATCTTGTGTTGGTTGTACCGTGTGGCCGATACTGTAGCGTGTGCACCCGGTGTTGCAGTGAAAAGAGCGAGGTAGAGAGCCGCACTGGGGAGAGTGGCGCGCGCCAGGGTCTGGGCGCCATCCCTCCGGACGCCCTCTACTCGGGCCCCAAAAAGTCGGCAGCCGGAGCGCTCCACACAAACGGCCACGGTAGTAACGGCCGCGCCGCCAGCGGCGACCCGCACAAGGTGAGCTTTCTCCACCGACCGCGTGGTGGCAGCACTAAGTGCATGATATCGGTCATCGCCGCTGTCCAAAAGGTTGGTCGTAGAACTTCACGAGTATTCCAAGTTGACTTTCATTGGCTACATTGGAATAAATTTCTTTCGAGCGTTTTTTTTGTGAACGGTCTAATGGTCACAACTTCTCTTCCTCTTGGTCTCTAATGCGAGCCGTGTTTGATTTCCGCAGTACCGTGGTGAAGACGGAGACTGCGGGCAAAGCGATAGTTCGCGAGGAGGCATCATCTACGCCGACCTCCAGCTGCCAAAAACCTCCAACAACGGCTCCATGAGGAAGCACCGACACGAGCGACACCTACCGTACCAGGACCAGAGACACCTACCGGGCTCCAGCAGAAGCGAGCCCACCCGAACCGAGTACGCCGAGATCAAGTTCGTGCCGAAAATCGACGAGCGCGCGGATATATAGACTTGGCTCCATATCGCAGGGAGCTGTTCCGGCTCGGACACAGTATGCGGCGGTGTGTGGGCGCCGGGCGGTGCGCAGCGGCGGCAGTGGTGCTGTACAGTACAGTAACGCGCCGGTCGGTCCCGGCACCACCGTCCCAGCGGAGGTTACGGGGACGCCGTCCACCTCTGTCCCGTCCCACGCGGGACCTCCGGAGTCGGCGTGTGTTACGCGCCGTGGCTGCGAGCCCGGCACCGGTGACAATCAGAGTGGGAGCGCTGACCGGCGCGCCAGTGACGAGGCGCTGCCGCCAGCGCTCAGCTCCCACAGCGGAGACAAAGTGCAGACTGAACATTGTACAAAGCAATAATGTGGCGTGAGCTTAGAGCGGGCGGCGCGGCGTTCCGGCTCGGCAGTCAGGCCACCAGGAGGTCGGAGGTGTACGCCCCGCGGCGCCGCGCGGTGAGCGAGGCAGTGATCTCTCTCTGACGCCCGTCCCGCGCCGCCCCAGACCCTGCGAGCAGTGCGGTGCGCTCGCGGACAAACCCCCTCACCTCCTCCCGGGGTCGTGAAGGACGCTTCACCCCAGACACCAGGACGGCGGATCTGACGCCCGAGCCGCGCGGTGACGCTGCGATGCCAGTGTGAACTGTCCTTTACCGATACAGAGCGGTGGCCGCTACTTCAGTGCCAGGGATAGACTGGGCCGGGACCGATGCTGCGAGATTAACTGGGAGCGTACCATGTAGTTACCATCTTTGTAACTTGTTTTCCGTTATCTGTCAGCGTAAGTCAGCTAACTGAATACCGGTGACAAATGTGCACGCCAGTCGTCGGCAGAGAAGCTCAATTGATTAAAGGGACCCTCCCACCTTCAAAAAAGTTGATGAATTGGCACGAAAGTGATGTCGCTCGGTTCAGAAAGAGCGAAAACGAATATATACCAAATTTCATCGAAAAATATTCACCGGTTTTCAAGATATTAGACTTTTACTTTTGTTTACTTTTTGGGATCTCCGCTGTTCCTAGGGACTTTATTTGAAAGTGCGGCATTTGTTGCGCGCAAAGCAGCATATACCACCGCGTGCTACCAAACGTTTTAGTAAAAGATTTAAAAATCGTTAGATCTCCGCTGACGTCATAAATTCTAAGGGGGCATACCAAAGCACTAGCCCCTTAGAATCCGAAAACTGCAAGTTTGAAATTCCATATCTCCGAATTAAAGCATTTGTCGATGTTGTGAGTGCCCAAACCGGTATTTGCAGGCCATGGCCATCAATTTGGCTATCTCAACTCAAAACTAATGTTAAGGTGGGAGTGTCCCTTTAACGTTCGCTGACGACGTCCGATGTTTATTATTTGGTCGCTTAAGTCTGTCTCTGGCGCAGGGCGCAGAGAGCCCCGCTGGCGCCGATTTCGGACAGAGGCGCTCACTACTGGTGAGGTCACTATTGGTTGCCCTGTGTGAGATCTGAGGAGGGCGAGCGTTGTATGGTAAGTGCCACAGGGAGAGAGTTTATGAATGTATGTCGGAAGGCGAGCGTCTGAGGGAGTGGGATTGGGGGAGGATGTCAGAGAGTGTCCGACTCAGTGGTTCGTACAACACGTGTCGTAAAGCGAGTGGTGAGTGTCTGAGAGCCTGTGAGTCCCCGAGGGAGCGTCTCGAGTCGGCAGCACTATACCACGCCCGGGGGTTCGCGCGCTGTCGCCGCCTTGCCGAGGCTCCGGGTCCGTGTGAGCTATCTCAGTGCTGCTGTGCTGATGTGCCGCGCGGCCAGTAGAGCGTCGTCCCCGTCCCGTTCGCCGCCCGACGCACCAATCTAGTCCTGTACGTATACCGTTTGCTGGCTTGCGCCGTCTGATTTGTACTCTCAGTGTCTGATATACTGTCGGCCGCTGTGGCTGAATATACCCGGCCAGTGCCGACAGCTGCCGCCGACCTGTGCAAACCGGCTGTGTAATGGAAAGCAGCGAGGGGTCATGTTAGGTACCGGTAATCTGACGTCAAGAACAAAAATAGAGGGCATTTGGAGGCGGCGCGGCGCGTCGTTTGGCGGAGCAGAAAAACTGATGAGTTGATCGTTCCAGAACCCATGGGGGAGGGGGGTGGGAATACAGGCCAGGGTGCGCAAAAAGTTCTGACACTCTAACAGTAAGCGCTCCTACGCGTGCTGCGGGTGCTTTTCGGAAACCCAATAGCCGCACACAATATCTTCAATAATCCTGCTACACAGGCATGTGTCGAACAAAGCACACCTTAACGGCCAGTCATGGAGGCAGGCTAAACGTCACATTGTCGTTGGATACCCGCGCGCGGCGGCCGAATCGGGCATGACTGTTGGGCAGGTTCCGATGAAATTCGGAGCCCCCTGCGAACAAATACGCGTATCAAAGCCAGATACGAATAGGGGAGGTCTTGGAGGATGCCCCCAGGTCAGACCGGTCACGTTATTGAGTCTTTCCACTTATGATTGCCTTAGATTGAGGTTTCAATTCAACTTCAGTTAAGCAAATTACGTTAATGTCATTTTTACTCAATGTGCTACGTCACTGTGTCTAGCAGCTCAAATTACTCAAATTAATATCAATATAAAAGTCTACGATTCAAATCCTTTTCTATTCTCTCCAAAACCATTCTCTATCTAGCCACATAACATTCTCAATTTCTTGTGACACACATTCTCTGCACGTACACTTTTGACAAACATACTCTTTTTCTGTAGAGCTTAAATAAATGCGCACCTCCCGTTAGCAATCACAATCCTCTTTGGATATTCTACATTCTCCCCCGGGGTGGAATTCATTCCTCAGGTAGAGAGGCCGCCTCCAGCAGGTACAGCTTCTGAATAGGACGCCGCACGTCCCCCCGGAGGGTGTGCACGGTCGCGGCCCGGGACCGCCCGTCCCGGCCAGGGTGCAGGGTCTTCACTGTGCCCGTGGTCCAGACGAGCCGGTTGGATGACCTCTCCCCCTCGATCAGCACAACATCGCCCGGTGCCGGCTCGAGGTCCACACTTGAGGCGTTGTGACGGAAGTCTCGCAAGTTCCGAAGGTACTCGCGCTGCCACCGAGTCCACAGGCTGGTGACGATTCTCTGCTGGTAGCGGCGCCTCCGCGTCAGCTGTTCCGATTGCCTCCCGGCAGCCTCGCTCCGTTCGAAGGCACAGTGCAGAAAGTCAGCGGGTCGTAGCGGTTGAATATCATCGGGATCATCGCTGACGGGCGTTAGAGGTCTCGCATTGATCGCTGACTCCACCGAGCACAGAACGGTCTCCAACTCTTCCCACAACATCAGTGAAGATCCCAGGGTGCGTCGCAGAGCGGCCTTGGTGAGTCCCACCATCCGCTCCCAAAAGCCGCCCCACCACGGAGCGCGCTCAACGATGAAGTGTCATTTGACACCCTCTGCAGCCAGCACGGACGCAGCGCCACGGAATGTTGTGGCGTTGTCACTCATGAGGCTGGCCGGGCAGCCTCGTCGGGCGCTAAATCGGCGGTAAGCCTTCATGAAGTCCTCTGTTGTCAGCGACTTCACCATTTCCAGATGAACTGCACGAACTACTGCGCAGGTGAAGACGGCGATATACGCCTTGAGGGGGCAGGAATTTCTTCCCTGTCTCACATACAGTGGCCCTGCGAAGTCCACACCTGTTCTGCTGAAGGGCCGGGCCGGTGTGGTCCGAATGCGGGGTAGAGGGGCCGGCCTCTGGTGGCAGAACGGTCTGGCGCGGAACAGGTGACAGCTCCGACAGCTCAGCAGCACTGACCGCACCTTCTGTCGTCCCCGAACGATCCAATACCGATCACGGATGGCGCTCAAAACTTGCGGGGTGCCGGCATGACACAGCTGCTTGTGCGTCTTCTCGATCAAGAGATGTAAAAGATCTCGCGAGAATAAAAGATCTCGCTCCGTTCTTGGACGGGGAGGTCCTGAGAAAGGAAGGCAGGCTGCACTATGCTGCGCTGCCAGAGGAGGAAAAGCGGCCAATCATCATGCCACCGGATCATAGATTCGTACATCTCTTGATCGAGAAGACGCACAAGCAGCTGTGTCATGCCGGCACCCCGCAAGTTTTGAGCGCCATCCCCGAACGATCCAATACCGATCACGGATGGCGCTCAAAACTTGCGGGGTGCCGGCATGACACAGCTGCTTGTGCGTCTTCTCGATCAAGAGATGTACGAATCTATGATCCGGTGGCATGATGATTGGCCGCTTTTCCTCCTCTGGCAGCGCAGCATAGTGCAGCCTGCCTTCCTTTCTCAGGACCTCCCCGTCCAAGAACGGAGCGAGATCTTTTATTCTCGATCCAGGGGGCACGGTGTGACCGGCTTTCAGAGCCTCCACTTCTTCACTGAACTGAGAGCGTTGGGCGTCCAGTATCCAAAGTCGCTCCGCCCTCGCGAGCTCTTCTGCTGTCATGATGCCGTCTTGCTTCTCTGACGATCTGCTATTACAGATCCAGCGCAGGACGTAAGCTGTGACTCTCAGGAGCTTGTTCAAACTGCTGAACCGTTGAATATTGATCAAACGACCAATACCTGGCGCAGGCTCATAGCTGCTGGAGGCCGGAAGTGCTTGCTTTCTCTCTTCGACCTTGCATTCCGCAGGTTCCTGTTCATTTCGCATCCCCTGTGGCCATCTGATTTTCGCTTCTCTGAGCCACTCAGGTCCGTGCAGCCAGAATTCACCTTTCATTTTCTCCGCAGGCGCGCCGCGGGAAGGCAGGTCGGCGGGATTCTCCGCTCCGGGACAGTGGTTCCAGGCAGCAGGAGAGCTGAGGCTTTGGATCTCGCAGACTCGGTTCTTCACGAACACACCCCAGCGTCTGGCGTCGCTACGGATCCAGTGCAGAGCCACCATCGAGTCCGTCCAGAAGTACACGGCTTGTGGTGTCGCGTGCAGCTGCTGCCTAACATAGCAAGCTAGCCGAGCACCAATCAGGGCCGCTGTCAGCTCCAGTCTCGGCAGTGACACCGGCTGGCGAGGTGCGAGCCGCGACTTGGACATCACCAGGGCCGGCGGGCCGACTGCCTGATCCTGTTCAGCGGCTCTTGTGTACGCCACAGCAGCGTACGCCTCTTTGCTGGCGTCACAGAAGATGTGGAGCTGGTATCCGTCTTGAAGTCTGTTTCCATATGGTCTGGGCACAGAGAAGCCGTTCAGTTGATGGAGCTCCGTCAGCCATTGTCTCCAGCTCCTGCAGACACCCTCGGAAGCCCGCTGGTCCCAGGCCAGACCATCCAGCCACAGCTGTTTCAGCATCATCTTGGTGCGCACGGAGAATGGTGTAAGCATTCCCAACGGATCGAAGAAACGTGCTGACATGCGAAGAATACTCCTCTTCGTCTCTGGTGCTTCGGTAGCGAGCTCCGCGAACTTGCGCGTTTCAAACACCAACTTGTCTTGGTCTGGAACCCAGTTTATTCCTAACACCTTGCAAGCTGTGTCAGGATGGGCTCCGAGCACCTTGGTCTGTTCACCGCTGCTTATGTCTTCTGACTGGCTCACCGTCCACTTTCTCATGTTCATCCGTGCGGCTTCAAATATTTCCCTGGTTCGCTCAACCAGAGTCTGCGCCTCATCCTGAGTGTCCACGCTTGTTATCAAGTCATCACAGTAGATGTCCCTCTGTAACTTGTCAACCAGGTCCCGATCTGACTCTCCATACTGCTGCAGGTGTTTTCTGAGGGCGGCCTGCAGTAGGAACGGTGAGGGCTTGACTCCGAAAACTACTCGAGTCATCCGGTAGAGAACTGGATCTCGATCGGTGGTGTTCTCCCTCCAGAGAAACCGTGTCACATCCCTGTCTTCAGGATGGAGCGACAGCTGCAGAAAAGCTTTCTCTATGTCCGCTGTCACGCCCACGCTCTTCGTCCGGAATCTCAGGAGCACCCCTGTCAGGTCAGCGATCAAGTTGGGTCCCGCCAGGAGGTGGTCGTTCAGTGACTGATTCGGAGGGCCAGCTGCCGCATCAAACACCACTCTGACTTTATCATCCTTGTATACTGCGTGGTGAGGAAGGACGTGCACCGGTCCATCCGGAACAGCCGGCGCCTTCTCAGCATGTCCCTGCTCCAAGTAGTCTTGCATCGCATCATCATATTGCTTGAGACGCCCGTTTTTTCGTAGCTGTCTTTCACAGACCTCAAGGCGAGCCAGAGCCTGCGCTCCATTTGTCTGTATCTCTGCATGTCCGGGCTTCCAGGGCCAGCGGACTTCATACCGACCATCTGGAAGGCGGCTACAAGTATCTTCGAAGTGTTTTGTAGCGAGTTCTTCCAGTTCTCTCTTAGAGTCGCGGTCACTGACTCCTTCGCTGCTTATCCCAACGCTTTCCAGGTTCCATAGCTCTTCCAGAAGGCGATCAGTCGACTCGGCCCTGATGAAGTTCACGATACTTGGCGTCGACTCTGTGATGCTCCGGCCTGAACGTCCAGCCAATATCCAGCCGAATCGTGATCCCATGGCCACGGGTCCGTCCTCTCCCTTCTTCATTCTCCCGTCAATCACATCTTGCATGTAGTCAAGACCGATTAGGATATCGATCTCTTCGTTGAGGGGATCAGCGCTGGGCTCCTCAGCCAGTTTCAGGCCAGCTAAATGCAGATGGCCACGGAGATCTTCTTGCGTCACGGCGGGAGGTGGACTGCAGATGACTGGCATTTCGTACGCTGTCAGAGTGATTCTGCTATCCTCGTTATGTGTTGCTGATAGGATTACTTTCACCCTATCACTGGCCTGCTGCAGCCCCTGGCCGCCTCCGAAGGTGTGGACCCGCAGGTGCTCCTGGCTCAGCACCTCGCAGCCCAACTCACGCGCTGTCTTCGTCCGTATGAAAGACTGGTTGCTTCCAGAGTCCAGCATTATTCTGACAAGTCGTGCTCCTGTTGCTCCTGTCGCTTTTACCTGGGCCGTCTGCATCAGAACTGCTCCTTCCTTTCTAGT